CAAAATTTGTGGCTAGGCTTGGAGGATACTCGCTGTTACTCCTGAGCTCCCACTTCCCTTGCCCTGAAGGCTAACTCTCGCTTTAGTTTTTAAACACTAAGATTGAATTGAGAATTTTTAGTTTGTCACCCTAAAAACTAATTCTACACCCAACAAAGTATATTTTTCTATTTATTTACACTTAGTTCCATGAACAAAACATTCCTTCATTGACTTAAATGTGATTCTCACTCTGTTGTAGAACTCATACTCCATTTTCCGGATCATATGTATCACAACATATTTTAACAATTCAATTGATCAGATCAAAAAGTAAATTAAGAGCGCAGTTAAAAAACCATCACAATTTATTTTAAATTTTAGTATTGGCACATCCAAATTATCTCTTCATTTTACCATATCTCAGAGTAGGGAGAAAGATAAAGGAATCTACTCAGACTTTATGAAAAAGATACAATAAAACATAAATTTCATACAGTAATAATAAACAAACAACACTTATCTGAAACACTTATCTAAAACTCTTTCTCAAAATAAATCCCTTGTAGTCTCTCTTAGGAAATATAGGAAGAAGAAATCTCTTACTTATCTTCCTCTCCAACACTTCTTAGAGATGAATTCACACTTAATCTAACCAAACAAACTCAAAACTATAAAAACAATAACTAACTAATGGTGTAGAATGACGTAGAATTTAGGTGTGTGAAGAGGAAAACTGAAATGAGCGGAAGAACTCAAAATGGTGTGAGGGGGGTTTCTGATCAAATTTTGGCCCTAAATAGAGCTTAGGTCAATTCTCCACTAGGTGCATCCAAAAACTCTTCAAAAAGCGTCCAAATTTGTTGAATCTTCTAGAAACAGGATCTGCATCGACACTGGTGTCGTCGGCACCCATTCTGGCGTCGTCGGCGCTAGAGGCCATTTAATTAATCTACCTTCTCTGTCAAAGGGCGTCATCGACGCCCAGTCTGGCGTCGTCGGCATTGAAAATTTTTTTAAAATATCCTTTTTGCTTCTTTTTTGCTTCAAGTCCTAAAAATCAACAACCTGCAATAAAATATAAAAAATTTCTTCCATTAAAGTGTAATATCACCAAAAATAAGTATAAATATGGGTCTAAAAATGCATATATTTTTGGTGTATCA